TATTCTTCTACAAAATCAATGGATGCCATTTGTTGCTTAAGACCTTAATTTTTTTTTAATATCGTTTGAAACAATCAACGATATAAAAGAGTGGACGAAAATATGGCAATGATTTTTATGTTTAAGCTACAGGAGCTTCTGTTGATTCTTTAGTCTGGTCAGCTAAAGATGTTATAATATTTTTAAATGAGCTGTAAGACAGAAGAAAAGTGTTACAGATGGGAATATTTAGAACTTGAAGCTTTAATGCTTATAAAACCTCATGGTAGACCGCTCTGCTTTATTTAGGACCACTCTATGTTATTGTGGAATATGCACCAAATGGGAACTTGCGATACTTTTTACGAGCTCATCGACCTAGCTCAGGGTATGAACGAGCCATTGGGATTGTCTCTCACACAGAAATCTTTTATTTCTATTTTTTATCAGGTGGCTCGTGGCATAGAATACCTAGTTTCAAGAAAGGTAAGCACACCTGTTTGACCTCTTCATGAACCTACTATTGCATTCATGTAGGACCTATGAGTAGTTGGCAACATTTGTCATTATAATAATACTGTTTTTGTTTGTCCTAAAATGAGTGTGTATAGTACTATCTAAATGCGCATGTACGCACTTCATTTCAACAAATGTACACAAAAGGCGGATGCAAATATACTTTAGTATATATTTTGTCCAACAACATATTAAAAGCTTAAAGATTTTAAAAAGGTCTAACATTAGGTCGTAGTAAAACATTATAAGTATATTTATTGATAGTATTAAGTACGGAAACATTTAGCTCTGACTAAACTAAAACCTAAAACGAAAACGTTTAGAAGTTTCAGTGTTAATTTATCTCTTTATCGAATATAGGCCATATTTAATAAAAACTTAACTTATGTTAGGCCTAAAACAAGTGGACTTGTAGATTTCGGTGTCTACGATTCGAATTATTTTGTATTTTTCTAAAAATGCTGTATTTAAAGAAGCACTATTGCAATAAAGATAATCATATGTTTTGCAGGTCTCTGCTGATTCAGTTGAATACACGCACCGTTCAACTTTTCTCATGCACCGATAAAAATATTTGAGGGACACCTGTCATGTAGCCATGTAAATGTGGGTACAATCGCATGTTTATTTAAATATGAGCACAACTGTTGTAACTTACCATGTGAATGTTTATACAATCGTTGGCATAAACCTTGTAAACCAATACACAACTGTTAACATGTATCCGTATAAATGCGCGTTCGAAATTTATCATGTAGTAACACAGACGTTTGTACAAATGTTGGTATGTATTCATGTGAAATGTCTGACACTATAAGATTATGAATTTAAATACAATAATCTATGATAAAGCAAGTAACAATATTATGTAATTGAGAGTATTAGATTATAAAATGTTTGTTTTAAGAGTTATAATTCAGATAGATTCGATAAATTTACTGTTTCAACTCTGATACTTTTTTTTCCAATATGCCATTTTTTTTCTTCAATAAGGTAGTTGTGTTTGATAACGAGTGGAAAACATGTTACCTTGGTAAAGTGTAAGTTTTGATAATATATTTCATCATGCAAATATTTATTTGTTATTTGATGCCATTAGAATTTTTGAAATAATGTAGCTTTTAATGTAGAGTTCTTTTTTGTTCTCTTCCAGATGTAGGTGTGTTTTGTAAATTGTTAAATAAAAAAATCCTGTAAATTGTTTGATAAAAAATCGAAGGAGTAAAAGAATGTGAAATGAAATGCATTACTGCAGTGTTCAGGTGTTATGGCTGTAATCCTTTGATAATTTAGAAAAAAATGTCTTTATTCAGGTTTATTCATCAAAATGATCCACAGGTTAGATGTATTTAGAAATTTTACAGGATGTGCTCAACATGATATGCACTAATCCCTGTCTGAGGTATCGTTTAGCGCATAATGTCATCAGTAATCGGATGGTGATGCCTACGAATTAGGATAACTGTCAGGTTTTATGTATGGGCCGAATTCTTTACAGTAGGTGTCTGTGACTTGTTGGCGATAAATGTTAACAATAAACAAACAACACCCAGTCCACTTGTTTTAAAATAATATATTAAAACAACTCAAACGTATACACAAGTTTTCGTTACTCGAGAAAAACTTATAAGGTTATAGTAAAATACAATAATCGCCAATTCACAACAACTGAACTACAAAATGTATGATTTGAAAACGCCTTACGTAAACAAACCTGCGATAAACTACCGCTTCTAAAAACTGAATTTAACACTGATATCGAACTTAACTTTAAACAGTCATGTATATCTAACAATAACACTGGTAATGACGGAGGAGGTCTTCATAGGCATTTATTTTTCAGGGGAGGTTGGGGAGGAAGGGGGAAAGAAACTGGTGGAAAGAAAAGGGAGACGGAGTAAAACTGTACTAAAATTTATTTGACTTTACTTAGTTATATAATATAGTTATACACAGACCTGTATTGTTTGAGTGGATCAGTCACCCACTCATACCTTTACTGATCTCGTGGAAAGTTATTAAAAAAACTTCAATTCATAAGCGAAACACAAGTTTATCCGCTTTATATTCTACGGTAATTTCCTTTAATAGTCAATGCCATAACTTCATTCATTTTGGATGCTCTACAACAAACACATTGCGAAAATAAAATACTTACAGGTTTCAGATTATAAACAAATGCGATTTAGGCACACATATATACACAAGCAATTTACAAAAAAAAACAAAAAAAACTTCGACAAGTTTTACAGTTTCTGATACCCTACTTTCAAAAATTTACTGTTTTATAGCTATTATACGTTTCCATCAATCTCAATGCAGGTGCCTAATTATCGACAATTAGGCTTATAGTCATTGGTGGCAGTGACGCTTCGCTAATACTTTAGTAAAAAAAAAAGAAAAGAGTTGATGAATTATTGAAGAAAAAGGAAAAATGAGTGAAGTAGTAACAACGAGGACTATTGATATGTGTCCTTTTTGATACCATAATTTTAAAAATTCACTATTTTTACCTTCGCCACTGTGTGTGTGGGGGGAGAGGGTTTGTTTGTGTGTTTGTCAGCAAAATTTCTCGAAAACGGCTGAATGGATTTGGACGAACAACTTCTGGTAATTTCAATAAAAAATAGATAAAAGAGTCAAAGATTCAATCAGATAAAAAGGACAGGAATGAAATTTGTGTGGTCACATGAATTTTGATTGGCTAGAAGCACAATTAAAAGATGGCTCAGCCACAAATACTAACTAAATATAGTCTTGTTCAAATGATACTGCTAGATTCTTACTTGTAATTACGTGTATATCGCCTGTAGACAATGCATCTTTTACATCTATGGAAATCCTGGTCCACCATGTTTAATTGGGTCTCTTGCTTGACCATCGTTTAGATGTGTTGATCATGCCGTCTATGTCATGACAGTAGCTACCTTAGAACCGATCCATATTCATTTCACTACTGCCTGGTTGTTATGTCTGAAAGGAGTCTGATATGAAATGGAATTTCCATATTAATGAAGTTCCACGACCATAAGATCCTGCCTAGCAGGGTTTGTAGTTTTACCTCCCATTTTTTTCCTACTGGAGCTGGATTCTATTTGTACAAAATAAGCATAACTAAAGGAAACTATCAAGTAAGCATTACCATTTGGATGTTACTTAATATCTCCAGCTGTGCACTCATAATCTGCACTTTCACGCTTTTCAACTGCACCGTTTACTGAAAGAAAAGGTTGTAACGCCTTTTCAGTTCAGTTTTCAAATGTATACTGAGCATCCTCAGTTGTGAAAACTGTTGATGTTCTACTGACACAAGCCATCCTAACTGTGTAATAGTCGAGCAGCTATCATCTGATATCCTGCATATATATTGTAGTGAAATTACTCGATAGCTCAGAAAGTAAGGGCTAATGCACACCTTCAGTCCCTTCTAATCTTTCAATCAATAAACTTTTCTTATTCTGGAGATGATAAGCAAGTGGAAATCACGCAATGTAGTACATACATTGTACGGGAACAATCAATTGGTAGCTCGAAAACCAAGAAATACCACTTCTTTTTTTAGTCATTGATTCTTCAACCAAATTACTATCCTAGCTACTAATAACTCGGCTAAGACCAAGAGCACTGAACTATAGAGGTCAAGCATCAGACTTTAGGCTTTACACCAACACTCACTAAATCCGTTCATTCCAGACAGTAACCTGTATGAAATATTTAAGGAAGTGATCCAGACCTTCCTTGGTCATACCCTTTAAGGTAGGTGGGTGGGGAAATCTGATTAGCCTTGCTCACAGGGACCAGTGAGGGTGGCATAATTCTTTCCCACAACGGGCCAAGACCTATATGAAACGAAAAGAAAATACATGTAACGCATGCATTGTCGGGCGAGTTGATTTTAAGCATCAAGTCGGTTCCGTTTCTTCTTGTTTTTCGTATTATAAGTAAAAATAAACTTGGGATTTAGGTATCTTTCATGTTTTTCTAAAACAAAAAATAAATATTTTATCCCCCAGCAACTATTAAAACGTTTAAAAAGAACTAAGTTCGTTACAAAAGAAACTAGATTGGAACCGAGATCGAAAGATTGGCTTTTAGTACTTATTCTCCTAAAGTTATTAAATGGGTTATCTCTTTTAATATTTACAAAAAAATATTTTATTAATAAAATCGATCTATTAATATAAAATTGTGGCGTGGAATAGTATTCATAGCTCTATTACTGAGCATATTATTTCGGAACTTAAATATAATATCTTCTGGAATTCTGATGAATTTGCGACCCCCAGTGGCACAGCGGAATGTCTGCGGACTTACAACGCTAGAATCCGGGTTTCGATACCTGTGGTGGGCATAGCACAGATAGCCCATTGTGTAACTTTCTGCTTAATTAAAAACAAACAAAGTGATGAATTTGCTTTCCAGTAAATAACATATCTTGAAGAAATCAAAGTACAATTATTTTAAAAAAATAACAAATTTCGAAAAAAAAAGTACAACAGAGGGAGCTACTTTAAGAGGTAAACTCAAAACTAAAGCTTGGTGAGTAAGTGATTATGTATTTCGAAGTTCTGTTAGTGTTAATTCGTATTTAGGACCATATTATCTAAATTTATTCGTAACAACTTAATTCTTAACCACTTTCCTTATTCCGCTTCCATGATCAGACCTATTACTATTTATATTATTAGAACGTATGATTTCATTTTCAGATTCTTGACTGGGGTTGGGAACTAAGTAAATTGTACTGCTAGTACTAAGTTATAGTTATACTAATGACTTGTAAAGTTGTTTACAACTACAGAATACAACTACACGTTACACTGTTAGTGTTGCTGTTGTTACAGAAGATTGACAAGTAAACTGTCCTAGTATTGGTAATAATAATAATAGTCACCGTTGGAAACGCCCTTGCTTTGGCTTTGTGAGATGTAGAATACCATTACCACTGTTTTCTCAGTAATACTAATAGAATATTAATGTAGATAAATTGCTTAAAATTTGACCTCCCATCTCTCTTCAACTTACTATGTCACTATCAGTACTAGTTCAAGTGTCTTTATGTGAGCAAGAAAAATACTTAAGTAGGTAAATAAGTAATTTTTAAATAATTGAGACAGAATTAGTTAATACCGTCAATTGTTACTAACAAAACAAAGTAACACTAACAATACAATAGTTGAGTTAGAATTTAAGAAATTCATAACATCAGACTTAGAAATGGAAGGTAGAGCCCAGTGCAACAGAATGCTATTCATAAGTAATATACAGTAGCAAGGTTAGATCTAGGCTTAACCTTGCTTAGCTTAAATCAGGACTTTGATAACTCTTTGCTATGTTGCTAACACATTACTGTACTAATTAATATTATCCAATAATTTAGGCTGTATGTCAGCTTTTATATACACAAATGCACAACACACACATATACATGTCTGCATTTATACACATACATATATATATATATATATTAATTATTAAAAGTAGATTTATGGCCAGGATTTTATTTTTAGGCTCTACAGTATTCCACAAATTAGTAATTTTTTTTTTTTTAAATGATAATCTTAGGAATAAGTGGCTATTTCAGTATCTGGCCCATCTTGACTATC